TAGTTTGAGGGTAAGGATGTGATCATTTCTCTAGTTGGCTTAGATAGCAATATATTTAATGCTGGTCCACTCAAAAAGGATTCTAGAGTTGTTTTGATTTGCATGATCATTTTCTTGATATGCGGAGGACCATACTTACTTGCTTGATGTTGAGATTTTGGGAGATTGTTTGGAAATAGTTGAAAAATTGCATACTTGAGATAGTTTTCTCCCAATGCTTGTTTGCAATATTAGTGCCTCTTTTGTAAGAATGAGCTTAATGTTTGTGGGTATCATTTCTAAAAACCCTCACGAGACTTCACTCATCCACTAGGGGTAACCTAGGGGTTTTAAAAGGCTTGTTGCATATACTAAATGTAATCGTGTTCCCTACGAAAGTGGCGTTATCCATTTATTGCTTTCTAGTTCATAGTTGTATATTCGTTCATTTCATTCCTTTACTTCGTAGTTCATTGCTAGGGACTAGCAATATTTAAGTTTGGGGGTGTGATGAGCGCTGAAAAGTGCGCAATTAAACCCCTTAAGCTTAGGTATTCTAGGACCTTTATCTATCTTACTTTCCCGTCTTAGACTAATTTCATGTTATTGCCCTTTTTAGGTCCTTATCCCAAAAATAAGTTAATTCAGTCAAATAAGAGCTTAAAAGAAGCAATCCCAAGTTGAATGGAAGAAAGGAGCAAAATGGAAGCAAAATGAAGCAAAGTGTGGAAATCAACATGTTCGATCGATCCCAACATTCCTTCGATCGATCAGAGCAACATCGATCTGGACACTTCAAGATGGATCCAAGCCTTTGTCCTTATCCAAAAGATTCCACCATGTTTGATCAATCCAACTTATCTTTGATCGATCGAAAATATTCGATCAATATTATCCACACCTACCACCACACCTACCACTCTTGTCTCTTTCCCAAAATATTCCAAAATATCTCATAGATTTGTCTTTATTCAAAAAGGCGCCACCAAAGATGATCGATCTCTGTAGCATTCGATGGATCTCACCAATGTTCGATCGATCTCAACATAGTTCGATCGATCGAACCCTCTCAAGTGTGAATTAATTCAACTTCCAGCTCATTAAAAGTTGTCTCATGGTGCAATCATTGGAGGAGCCCTTATGCACGAGTCCAGACCATTGAGTGTGAACTTAAGCTACCTATATAAAAATTTGAGCTACTTTTTACACATATACTTAGAAACATTCTTAGAGAGAATGAAATGAAAGGAGGAGAGGTTAGAGACACATTCGTAGGAGTTCTTCCATTCTTCTAGGGTTCCATCAAGAAGGAAGTCATTCCTACCATGGATATAGTCCTTGAGGGTTGGATGATTATTTCAATGAGTGGCTAAACATCTTCTTAGGGCTAGAGTTAGCCCTAAGCATGCCTTTTAGACTCTAATGCTTTGTATTTTGAGGGGATTTGTGTTGTAATCTTGTCTTGACACTTATTTTGTATATAAATCTTGTTTATTCAATGATTTGTGTGGTTTAATACTTCTAATTGATCATTTCATTCTATATATATGTCTATATATGCTAAAATAAATGTTCATGTGTTTATCTCTAATTTTTTGTGTTATTGATGCATGTCTATGTGTGTTGATGTTATGGATCTAGAAATTGTCAAGGCATAGTGCTTAATAGAATACTATAGTGGTTTATTTGATGGTTCATACTCATGTCTTGATGGATTGTGCCACTCCCTTAGTTTATTTAGTTTAATTTTCATACCCCTAGCTTAGTTGTAGTGTAGTTGCCTTAGTTGTTAGATGGGAGGACAATCCATACTTATTGTTTGATGTTCTATACTTATGAATGCAAGTAGTATTATTCTCTAACCATGTGATGTGTTTGAATTGTGAGCTTAAAGGAAGGATTAATGGCTTAGTTTGATATATTGTGCCATTCACTAGGTTGTTTAGACAATACATGCTTAATTGGTCTTTTATACTTGTTGAAACAATCAATTACACACTCTCAAATTGCAACACATGTTTCCCCTCATTAATTATACATTGAATGTCTAGAATGGTGATGTTTAGTGGTGGCCTCTAGACCCCAAGACCTCACTCTCTTGTTTTCTCTAAATTTTATTTAAATTGCTTATTTTATATTGAACTTATTTAGTTTAGTTTGTAGTCTAATCAACCAAACACACTATATTTTGATCACTCGACCTACTAACCCTACACATTGTTTCTATTGCAAGCACGCCTATAATCCCTTGGGACGATCCCTACTCACTCTAGCTATATTTTTAGTTAGAGGTAGTAATGGCTTTTATAAATTTAAAACTTGGCCACATTACACACTCACACTCTTAGTGCATCTTTAGATGTTGGTGCGGCGACACACCAATCCTTATCCCCAACTTGCTGCTATTCTTTTTTATTATATACCAAGTCCTATTTTAAATTTATTTTTTAATTATGGGCTTGAAAAAAGAATATTTAATAAAATTTGAACAAAATCTAGAAGAAAGACAATTTAAATTATCTTTAATAAATTAAGCTAATATTTATTTAAGGGTAAATGAAATAATTTAAAATTTGAGAAACAAATTGTTTATATTAGTATTTTTTGTTATTTTCTAAATGGTTAATATTTATTGTACATTTGCACAATTCAATTTCTCATAATAGAAGTTGAACACTAAAAAATATCACTAATTACCAATTTTCATATATTAATAACATCAGGGTTAAATTTACAAAATCCTCCTCTACTTTCATTTTTTTTTTAATACAACTATAACCCCTATACTATTAAAGTCATCATAGAGCTCCAGTTCCACTAGTTTTCAATTAAATTTAACAGTAAATCTTTGTAATAACTTTAATACCCTTGAAACAACCCTTTCTATAAAAAAATAACTAAGATACATGCTAACACCAACATCAAAAGGGTTAAATTCATAAATAAGATAAATTACACTATATAATATATTATACTAAAAATTTAAATAACTAACACTATCTAAATACATTAAATTATATATCGAGTAATAAATTAGTAATTATATATTCATACTATATTATATAATAAATATATAACATAGACCATTTAATATGAGAGAATATAATATTTGTGTATAGTAAATACTATATATATATATTTTTATTTTATCATATAATATGGTGTATATTTACGAACCTGTTCATCTAAAATAGAGGCAATGATATTGACAATTATAATATAATGTATAACTGAATTTGTTACTATTAGCTAATAAGCCTAATAATATAAATTTATAACTAATATATTAACATTGCAAACTATATAATTTATTATATTAATGAATAAACTACGTAGATGCAAAATTTTATTTATTTATAATAGGCACATGAGCTAACGCACATAAAGCGGAAGCGCAAAAACAACAAAATTAAGTCACAAATAATGACAATGTGAGCGAAAATGTGCAAAAAGTGAAAGTGGGAGCACGCTTAGAGGATTATGTGATTTAGTACATGAGTGGTTTGATAATACTGGGAGAAAAGTGTCGAAAAAGAAATAAATAAAAGTAAGGGGGGTTTTGTGAATTTAATCTTTAAAATTATTTAAATAAAGAAACGTTATTTTGATAATTTTATTTGTCAACTTTGACGATTTTGTTTTCCATAGTACAAGGGTGATTTAATTTAACCCTTTTATATATATATATATATATATATATATATATATATATTTATTTTCTAAATGGAATGTAAATTTGTATGGACGAAATAATATGAAAGTGAAGGTGAAAGTGAAAATGAAAGAAAGTAAATTAAAGAAAGGAAAATTAACTTTTCTATGATTCATTTAGTTAATATGAATTCTTTTCAAGAAAAATATAGAAAAAATTCATTTCATGAGTAGAATGAAAGTTAAAAATTTATCTAAATTGTCTATCTTTTTCAGAACACCTAGAGATATTTTCTTATCAAAAGTTATGCATAAATATATTTTATTTTAGAAAGTAAAAAATGGGTGATATAATTTTATAAAGAAAAATGCCTTCGTACCCGAGGGTTAGGCCCAGATTGGTAGGGTGGAAATGGAGGAAAGGGAAGGGAAAGTGATGGAGGGTGATTAAAAAATTGTGTTTGGGTGAAATGGGTGGAAGGAAAAAAAAGGAGAGGGAAGGCTAAGGAGGGTTAAGTATAGCTTTGCATAGTAATTTACTTATCCTCCCAAAAATGGGAGGAAATGGAAAGAAAGGGAAGGCAATGGCATATGTGATACTTGTGATGCCAATTTTACTCACACAAAATCAAAGATTTAGTTAGCAAAACAAGAATTACAGACCTTGATTGGTTGATTTAGCAAAACAAAACCCATACATATAAGTTAGCCGTTGCAGAAAGAAAGAAAGGGGGGAAAGCTTACAGCGAGTCAGCGGCTGAAACTTGCGTACGGCGAACCTGAACTGGAACAGCGGGTGATGGAAATGGTGAACCCAAACTGAAACAGCGGGCAATGGAAACTGAAAAATATGGGTTTTGATTTTTGGAACAATTTGAAACAATATGCCGATATGGGTTTTGAACCTTTGATTCTTGGATATACATATGGGTTTGGAATTTGGATTCTTGTAGTTTTGTAGTTTGCACATGCAGAAGAGAGAGAGAGTTGCAGAGAGAGAACGAGAATACAGATGGATGGAGGCGGGACGCTAAATAGATTAGCCCTAAAAATTTTATATTTATATTACATACTTTATTTTATTTATTTATTTTTTTTTTACAAATATTACGTACTTAAGTTTATAAATTTTTATTTTAAAATATAAAAAATAAAAAGGTATAATAGTAAATTTATTGAAATATTTTTCTTTTTTTTTTTTTTTTTTTTTCCAAATATGATTATTATATATTTTTTTTCTTCATTAATCAATCAAACACAATACTAAATTAAAATTTCCCGTAATTAATCTTATCATTCCCCTTCAAACCCACCCCACCAAACATGGCCTTAGTGCCTCCGCGGACACTTTGGATGGAATGTCAGGCGAAAAAAAGAAAAAAGAAAAAAGAAAAACGAAAAAAAGAAAAATTGCGATAAGCTAAAGTACGCAGAGTGAGCGGTATATTTTAGAAGAGTCCACTAGTTCTTGCGAATTACATACATAGCCAGTACGCATAACACGGTTCCTCCTCTGACCGCTCTTCTACTGTCTGATCTGAGGATCCTTCATTCATTGCTTGACGAAAGAGAGTGCAACGGAAACAAAGAAGAAAATGGGGATGCGATTCGATCTGTTCTTCTTATCAATCGCTATACTCTGCGGACCTGTCCTGTCAGATCTGGTCCTCTCCAAGGTTGATCGAAGAGTACGTTTCGCTTATCTTCCTCCTCACATTTGTTAGTTTATATATGTATCTTTTAATTTGTTTTTTACAATTCTACTTTATTGTACTAGATTCAATGTTTTTGATTATTCTAATAGAATGGAGATAAGATTGAACCCGGTTTGACTTGTTTCATTACCAGAGTTGCGAGTTAAGGTACTAGGGTTTAAGGTTTTTACGCAATAGATATATATATTTTTCGAGTATTTGACTCGGAATCAATTATCTGATCACAGAATAAGAAAGCAGCACTTGACTTATATGACAGCTTTTTTGTAATGTAATTTTTTTGATTGAAATGCATACAGCGTATGCAAACTTGCTTTTTAATGGCATGCATTTCCCCCCCTTATTGCATTAGTATGTATTTTCTATGAAAATATGTAAAATTGACTCCATTTTTAGTGGAAAAGGTAAAAAATATTTCCATCAGAGACAAATTTATGACTTCAGCTAATATGGGTAAATAAAGATAAAATGCCCTAAATTACATCTTCGCTTCGTTCATTTACACACCCTTGTATTGCTAATTTTTTGGATATCTGTCGGATTTATAGGTTTTACTTGCTGGTATTTCACTTTCAAGAACCTCTCCGAGTTTGTTTTTATTTCAGTAATTTTTTCATTACTTGAAGCACAATGATAACTTGCCAAAGATTTTAACTATCTCAAATGTTAACATCAGTCAACAAGATTTTAATTATCTCAATAAATGTTTAATTTTTTTTATTACTACTAAAGGATCTTATATGTTCAGATGCAAAGTAGAAACTTGGCAATATCATATTCGACATACCCTAGAATGACCTCACAAGTTGTCAATGAAAGCTAACTAATCAGTGTTTTATTATAATTATTCTTTTTATGTTTAACTTATACTTGTCACTGACTATATCTCATCCTGCCATGCAGATTGATTTGACAACGCAAACTGTACGCATGACTTCGTCTTTGAAGGTTGTCACCAGTGCTTTTTGTTGGCCCAACTTTATAAGTTTCTTATAAGTTGAGAAAGCATCAAAATTCTTTGAATATCTATTAATAGTTTTTTTTTTTTTTTTTTTTAAAATCAGTTGGGAACACTGAAACTATGACATTTTCTGTACTTATGAACCAACTGTGCAATTATCTACTGAAATCTGGTTTTCTTAAAGATTTTTCGTATCTTTCTTAACAGGTGGAAAATTCTGGAACTGATCCAGTGTCAGAGGTTTTATTGGTCTTTCCTGAGCACCAGTTAAAGAACTTGGCATATTTGATGGCAATAACTAATGAAGGGAAAGGGAAGACAAAAGTTTCTACTGGCAGCCTTCCTTTTGATGTTGTCCATCCCGAAGGGATGCCCCTGGGACTGACTGTGTATTCAGTATCTTTACCCCGGGGACTTGGTAAGGGAGAAAGCTTGATTCTGGATGTTATCACTGCATTCACCCATGCGTTGCAGCCATTTCCTGAAAAAATTACTCAAGCAGAAACTCAGCTTGTTGTGTTCCAGGATAGTGCACAGTTTCTCTCTCCTTATGCAGTCAAAGTCCAGTCACTTAGTGTTAAATTGCCGGAACCAAAGGTTGAATCTTATACAAAACTAGAGAATACTAAGGTTTCTGGCTCTGAGATTAAATATGGGCCCTATGAGAATCTTCCTTCTTTCTCATATTCACCCATAGTAATTCATTTTGAAAGCAAGCAGCCCTTTGCAGTTGCTAGAGAGTTGGTACGAGAGCTAGAAATTTCCCACTGGGGCAATGTGCAGGTCACGGAGCATTATAACCTTATACATGGAGGTGCTGAAATTAAGGGGGAATTTTCCAGGTATATTAATGCATTCATTATGGGTTTTTGACATTTTGGTGGTTTCTATTGCTTTGAAGTTTATTTCTGCCATATTATTTTATTACTGCAGGCTGGACTATCAGGCCAGGCCCAGCATAAGAGGTGCATATGCACTTAAGCATCTTTTTGCTAAATTGCCTCCAAGAGCTCACTCTGTTTACTATAGGGATGAAATTGGCAATATTTCAACATCTCATTTATGGGGTGATTCTAAGAAGGTGGGGATTTTGATTCATACAAAGAAAGATGTTTGAATACTTCTTTCTAGATTTTAACGCAATCTTCATCTCTAATTGCAGACACAACTTCAAATTGAACCTAGGTATCCAATGTTTGGTGGTTGGAATACCTCTTTCACCATTGGATATGGCTTGCCACTTAAGGACTTTTTGTTTCAGTCAGATGGAAAACGGTTCCTAAATATCTCTTTTGGTTGTCCGATAAATGAGGTGGTCATTGACAATCTCATTGTGAAGGTAATGATATCTCTTTTTGGGTGCACTAAACTCTCTTTCTCCAAGAACTTGAAAAGTTGTGAGAATTTGATTTTGCTACTATAATCAAGAAACTTTCTTCTACTTGATGCATTTGGTAATTGGGGTTACAAGCTGGACTTGTGATGAAGTCAATTAAATCTTTGCCAAATGATCATGGTCTCATCTCAAGCTTGTCCTAAGCCTGATTTCATCTCACAATCCTTAACTGTCTACGCCATTTTGTTATATTGAGCTTTTAAGCCATCCCGTTTTGAACAGCTTAAAAATTTTGCAATAAAATAATCACTGTGTACAATGAGTTGTGCAAAAAAGGTGTCTGGAACTCGACTTTCATAGTTATATCTCATTCCAATAACTATTTAACCTAACTTCAGAAATTTAGGAAATATTATAGACAGATAACATAAAAAATTGTATAAAAGTTTAAAGATATTGTAGACTGGGCCGAGCGTCAGGTTTAAAGAATAGATGGGCTTAGCTGTTCTAAATCTGGGCTCAAATCTTTGACCAAGCTTAATTTGGTTCTTGTTCATAGAACACCAGGCTCGAAGAATGAGGAGCCAGAGCATCTATATTTGTTCAATTAAACTCAATTCGCAACATTAATTGAATACTTATTCGCTTTCTTTTTTTCTTTTTATTTTTTTTGAATTGTTGCTAGTAAAGTTTCTATGAACAAGTTAGTCATGGTTATGGTTGCATGTTCATTTACAGTTAAAGCATTATAACTGTGAATTGCGAGGAAGTTATTTGTTAGATATTTACTCTCCAGAGCATTATAAGGTATTTTTTTTACTACAGGTTGTTCTGCCTGAGGGGTCAAGTGATATTTCTGTTTCTGTTCCGTTTCCTGTGAAACAGTGGCAAGAGGTATTGCAACCCACTTTTTACCTTTTATTTTTCCCTTTCCTTATCTCCATTCTAAGTTTATTTCATTTATCCTTGGAAGTTTTCTTTATTTTGGTGTTCATAATTCAATGCAGACAAAATTTTCTCACTTGGATATGGTTGGTAGACCAGTAATTGTGCTGGAAAAGACAAATGCTGTGCAGGAGCATAATCAGCATTTCCAGGTATTCCTGCCTCTTTTACGTTTAAAATAAAATGCTATAATTGTTTGAATGCAAGGCACACTTTGACAAAAGAATTTATTTTTCATTAACAGTAAACTTCTACTGTCAACCCTAGACTTCTGAGTTAAATGCATATCTTCCAGGTATGGAACTAGATTATATTTGCATGAGATGTGAGATATGTGAGTTTGCATGAGATGTGAGGTATGTGAGTTTGCATGAGATGTTAGATACGTGAGATACAAGTTCCATGGTCAATAGTTTAAGATTGAGTGAGGGACTGATGTAGTAGGCACTAGGTAACTTAGGATAGTGCCCAATTGATTTTGCGGTAGGATTTGGTTGTGGAGAACTTGTAAGGTAGAGTTTTATAAGGTAATAGGAAGGTTGAACATTAAGTTAGGGTTGAAGGTTGTGAAAAGGCCAAAAGGTAGGGAAAGGGATTACGTTTGCTTGGGGCTAGATTTTTGCAGTATAGGGAGTTGAAATAGGGGCTGTCACTGGCGCTGAACGGTACCCTAGAACAATTATATATTTTTCTATTATGATTTGAGAAAAAATGATAAATAAGAACAAAAATAAGGATCCGTGCATATCACGAGGAGTTCCTCTGGCTTAACCGTGTGCAAATTGGATATTGAAAAGGCTTATGATCATGTTTGCTGGGATTTTTTTGATGTATATGTTGAAGAGAATGGGCTTTGGTCAAAAGTGGAGGGCGTGGATTTTTTTCCCGCATTTCAACAGCACAGTTCTCTGTTTTAGTGAATGGATCGGGCTGGTTTCTTTGCTAGTTCTAGAGGCTTGAGTCAGGGGGACCCTCTCTCCCCATTCTTGTTAATTATTGTTATGGAGGCTTTTAGTCGGTTGATGGGTGGGGCGGGGGAGCTTGGCTTTATTCAAGGATTCTTAGTGGGTAGAGTCCCCAATCAATTAGTCATTTCCCACCTGCTTTTTACGGATGATACTATTGTCATTTGTGATGCTAATCTTCGTCAGCCGAGGTATGTGTGTTGGTATGTTTCCAAGTATTCTCTGGTTTGAAGATAAATATTGTAAAAAGTGAGATTGTCCCGGTTGGGGTGGTGGAAGATATTCAAGTTCTGGCTTATACGCTGGGATGTGGTGTTGGCTCTTTTCCGATCTCCTACTTGGGACTCCCTTTGGGAGCCTTGTCAAGGAGAATTTATGTTTGGGACCTTATTGTAGAGAGATTTGAGAGGAGGCTTGCAGGTTGGAAGAAACAATAATTGTCAAAAGGTGGGAGGGTTACTCTCATGAAAAGCACTCTCGCAAGCCTTCCAACCTATTTTTTGTCGCTTTTCCCAACGCCTAAGCCAATTGTTAGAGGACTTGATGTTATTCAGAAGAAGTTCTTATGGGGCGGTTTAGGAGATGAGTTCAAGTATCACTTGGTTGACTGGAGTAAAGTGTGTTCCCCTATTAAAATGGGGGGTTTGGGCATTCGAAGGCTGGATGTGTTCAATAAAGCGCTGTTGGGAAAGTGGTTGTGGAGATTTGGGAGAGAGAGGACCAAGCTTTGGAGGCGTGTCATCGCTAGGGTGTTGGTGGGTTGTAGTCTAGGGAGGATAGATTCCCAGCGGGTATGGGTTCTTGGAAACTTATCCGTAGAGGTTGGGATGAATTTTCTAAAAGGATTTGGTCAAGGTTCAGAGCGGAAGAAATGTTAGATTTTGGGAAGACATATGGTGTGGGGATTTGGCTTTGGCCCGTAGGTTCCCTCAAATTTACCGAATTACTATGAATAGAGATGCTTTTAGTTACTAACGATTATTGTCTTGATAATGGAAGGGTGACTTGGGATTTACGGTTCGTTAGACAGTTCCATGATGGGAACTATTGGAGGTTACAGATCTTCTAGATTTCATCTATAGCCAGATGGTGGTTGGGGTGGGCACGGATGAGATGGTGTGTGTGGGTTCCTCGAGAGGGGTGTTTGAGATCAAGTCCTTTTATTTTAGTATGGTGGAGCTTCTTGGCCTTGTTTTTCCTTGGAAAGCTATTTGGAGGACAAAAGCACCATTGAAGGTAGCTTTTTTCTCGTGGACAGCTGCTTTGGGAAGCATCCTCACTATTGATAATCTTAGAAGAAGAAATCAAGTTGTGGTAAACAGGTGCTACATGTGTAAGACGACGGGGGGATCTGTCAACCATCTTCTTATTCATTGCTTGGTGGCAAGGGATGTTTGGACCATGTTTTTGGGTGCGTTTGGTATTCCATGGGTGTTCTCAGAATCTACGGTAGATTTGCTTGAGACTTGGAGAGGGTTTACAGTGGAGGCAGAGTCAGAGATGCTTGGAGGGCTACTCCCCTATATATGGCGAGGTTTGTCGCGAGAGAGAAATAGGAGATACTTTGAGGGTTCGGAGTCTCCTATTTGGGCTATTAAGTGTAGCATAATTTCTTCTTTATTCTTTTGGGTAATTGGGCGGGATTGTATATTAGTGGATTGTCTTTTAGACTTTGTTGATAGCTTAAAAGCTATAGTGTCGTCATGGATGGCTGTTGGTTGTTTTGGGAGCGCTCCTGGTGTAGGACAAGCGAACAACCTTTAATAGCTAATAACTCAAAGAATTCAGACTGAAAGTTCTAACAACTAGGGCTGAAATTTTGAGGTTTGATAGTAGAAAATGTAGGAAATCATGGAGAATAGAATAAGAGCTGCCTATTGGTTAGAGAAACAAATTATGGTTCTAAAGAGAGAAAGGATTTGAAAATAAGAAAAGCCTATTGGCATCACACCAATAGAAAACAAAAACCTATTGGAATCACTCCAATGGGGCCTAGGTATCACACCTAGAGAAAGCCTCACACACTCAGAATTTGTGAATGACTCACAAGAAATCTCAAAAAAAAAAAAAAATAAAAAAAAAAATAAGAAATCTCAAAAGATTTTTTTTTAATTCATTCATCGACTGAGTAATAAGAACTACAGAGTATCCTTTTTATAATAACTAATGACCCTTGGATTACCCTACAATGAAGGTAATCAAAAGTTGACTCTAGCTTAATAAAATAACAAATAACTTAATTGATGCAATTTAATCTAATTGATGCAATTTACCAAAACAATGCAATTTCACCATAATTGATGCAATTGCCAAAATAATGCAATTTGACCAAACCCTCTAATTATTCAAGACTCCAAGTGGACCCCCCATCGCCTAGCATGTGCCAAATCAAGGTTTGAGCCTTAGAACCCTTCTTGCCACGCCTTTTATATACTTCAAAAGACTGCTGCCACTGTCCTTTACTTGCTGCCACTGTTCTCTACCAGCTCCCCTTTTGAGTGTTTTTATAAAATCTTTCTTATCTATCCAAAAAAAAAATAAAAAAGGCTCAACTCTATTGAATAGAAAGCTTCTGTAAATATTTATGGAAAGCTGGAGCTTTTCTACTATTATAAACTTGAAATATCAACTATTAAGAACATGCTAGACCTGACACAGGCACATATAATGTCCCAACAACATGATTGTATATGCAATTAAGTATTACTAAAATACCCCAAACTCTAAAACACAAGGAAATATAACAAAATTGTACATATTAACCTATAACTAACATGAAATTGCACTTAATCCAAACTTGATCACATGGGGTCCAAAGTGGGCCCTATATATAATTTTCAATTTCTGACCTTAATTGTTCGCATGCTCTATATCTGGGAGAGCACCTTAGCACTTATTAAGGATGATGCTGAAAATGATATCATAAGACCTGCTTTCGATTTTACCTTGGAGATATATATATATATATATGCATACCCCTTCTTGCCACGCCTTTTATATACTTCAAAATGCTGCCACTGTCCTCTACTTGCTGCCACTGCTCTCTGCCAGATCCCCTTTTGAGTGTTTTTATCTATCCAAAAAAAAAGGCTCAACTCTATTGAATAGAAAGCTTCTGTAAATATTTATAGAAAGCTAGAGCTTTTCTACTATTATAAACTTGAAATATCAACTATTAAGAACATGCTAGACCTAACACAAGCACATATAATGTTAGTAATACTTAATTGCATATACAATCATGTTGTTGGAACATTATATGTGCTTGTGTCAGGTCTAGCATGTTCTTAATAGTTGATATTTCAAGTTTATAATAGTAGAAAAGCTCTAGCTTTCTATAAATATTTACAGAAGCTTTCTATTCAATAGAGTTGAGCCTTTTTTTTTTTTTTTTTTGGATAGATAAAAACACTCAAAAGAGGATCTGGCAGAGAGCAGTGGCAGCAAGTAGAGGACAGTGGCAGCATTTTGAAGTATATAAAAGGCGTGGCAAGAAGGGGTATGCATATATATATATATATATATATATATCCAAGGTAAAATCGAAAGCAGGTCTTATGATATCATTTTCAGCATCATCCTTAATAAGTGCTAAGGTGCTCTCCCAGATATAGAGCATGCGAACAAGAAAGGTCAGAAATTGAAAATTATATATAGGGCCCACTTTGGACCCCATGTGATCAAGTTTGGATTAAGTGCAATTTCATGTTAGTTATAGGTTAATATGTACAATTTTGTTATGTTTCCTTGTGTTTTAGAGTTTGGGGTATTTTAGTAATACTTAATTGCATATACAATCATGTTGTTGGGACATTATATGTGCCTGTGTCAGGTCTAGCATGTTCTTAATAGTTGATATTTCAAGTTTATAATAGTAGAAAAGCTCCAGCTTTCCATAAATATTTTCAGAAAATTGTACATGTTAAACTATAACTAACGTGAAATTGCACTTAATCCAAACTTGATCACATGGGGTCCAAAGTGGGCCCTATATAGAATTTTCAATTTCTGCCCTTTCTTGTTCACATGCTTTATATCAGGGAGAGCACCTTAGCACTTATTAAGGATGATGCTGAAAATGATATCAGAAGACCTGCTTTCGATTTTACCTTGGATGTATATATATATATATGCATACCCCTTCTTGCCACGCCTTTTATATACTTCAAAAGGCTGCTGCCACTGTC